CAACTCCAATATCAAGGGTAGCATTGGAGCAAGCATTTAGTGCAAGCAACTGAATTCTTGATGAGAAGAGAAGCAGAATGTATCTGGATATCTTGGAAGGGCTAATGTGCATTAAAGACTGGGAAGATGCCAGAAGACGAAAACAACAATATACAGATGATTTAATTCAAGAATATTTTTTTAACTTAGACATAACAAAATCTCCTGGAAGCATTTAGGTTTTGTAATTTACTTATCCTAGAATACTGCACTCTTTTTTCCTTCGCTAAGATTTTGTCTTGATCTCCCCACGGGTTTTACTTTGCAAGGTTTTTAACGAAACAGACATTTATGTGTACTTATTTGTATTATCTCAATTCAACAAAATTACATTTTTAGGGGCATATAATATATTTTCTTTTTTTAATTAAATATTGAAAAAAAATTAAATGGGCCAGGGCTGGCCTAGGCCCGAGTCCGGCCGTGGCCCTTATGGATGAGGGCCTGGGCCCGTGCTGGGCCTGAGGGCCTTCCCTCAGGCCCGGCCCAGGCACAGTCTTAGACTGTTCTGGGACGTGCCTAGCACGGCCCAGGCCCATGGCGAGCCTAAGGTCAGACGTGTCGTGCCGGCCCGTCACGGCACGTTTGACACCTCTATCCCAATTGTCGGCCACTTTATAAAAATAATTGAACTCCTAAATAGAGTGCATGCTTCATTTTTAGTCTAATTTATAAAAAGTATGATATTGTTGGTGTGCGCTTGAAAGTATCTTATTAGTTTATAAAGAAACTCCCAATTTCTAAAGCAGAAAGAATAATATATTGATTCACTCCAGTTGCTTTCAAGGTGTTGTATAGAAGATAACAAAGGGCAAAAGTTCATTTGTTTCATAGGTCAAACTTTAAACATTGTCCCTATAATAAACGATAATAATAATAATAAAAAAACCTAATTTAATAATAATATAAGATATGATATAATATTGTTTTCTGAAGACAAACTAAAGAGCACATTGACATGGTGACTTTTTTTTTTTTAGTCTTTTTGACCTTTAGGACTCTTCACCTAAATAAGGATCTTTTTTTCAACATGAAATTCAATCTGGCTTAAAACTATCTAGTCTCTTTTTTTTTTTTTTTTTTTGGCTCAGATAAGCTAGCCGTTTTCGGCTGCCCCATTTCATAAGCAAGATGATGTGCTCGATAATAGATTTAGACTTTAAAGAATGATGGTACAACTTTTCTATTGATGAAAATTTAGTATATTCACACTTGCATGAGGAGTTTGATTTAAATCTAATGCTAATGTAATCTTGAATCTAAAATGAATAATTATAAGAGATAGAAAACTATTTAAATCAAATAATTCAATTATCCTTATGATTCAATACTATCTTGATAAATTGTTATTTATTTCTTCTGGGGGATTTATGCAAAATGAAAAGAGCTTACATAAATTGTAATTTTACTATCTTGGTAAATTGCTATGCATTATTATTTACTTTTAGGGCGTGCTTTTTGTGTACAACAGCATTAAAATCAGACAGAAAGAGAGGAAACAGTTGACCTATGGTAAAACATCAGTTTTTTTTTTTTTTAAGGGCATAATCAATAAAATTGACACAAGTGAGAAAGCAACAAGATCGAGTACAAGCTTCAAGCTGGCATTGTTGTTTTCTAACCGCAAGAAAAGGAGTTGGCGTGTTGGTCCTACCATGTATTTGGCTATTATAAATGGTGCAAGACTTTCGTTTGATTTACGTTGTACCAAAAAGGCTTACCCATTATGCTTTCATGTGATTATGTGATAGAAAAAGGGGAGAGAAATTTTCAAAAAAATAAAAATAAAAATATATTGAAAAGGAGAGAGAAAGTTTCAAAAAATAAAATAAAAAGAAAATGTAGAGAGGAGGGGAAAAGGACTCGAATCACATGTTTAATTTTGATATCTTAATTATTGTCTAACCGATTAAATTGTGTCACGTCATTTAAAAAAATTAAAATATTTTTTAACTAACTTTTTAATGATTTAATGTTTAAGTCTGTTAAATGTCGTGTCATAATATGAGTGGTTAGACATTAATTGAGATGATAAAAATTGAAAAAATAATTTGAGCTGAAGGGAGTCTTTGATATTTCGTGAAGAAAGCAACTTAATAGCCACATAAGTTTCTCCGCACGCGCCCAATCTAGTTAACCAAATACCAACTTATTCAAAGTTAGCAACGATATCATCGCTATACAAAAGACTTCGAGCATTCTTGACTGGTCAGTTTTCTCTTTCATCGTCTTCATTTGAAATTTATTTTTTATATATAATATGTAATGATGTTTTTATAGAATTCATTTGAAGTTAAATATAGCATCTTATAGATTATGAATCGCAATTAGGGAGTTGGGATTTTTTTTTTTAAGTAAGATATAAAACGAAAACAACGAATATTATCAAATAGGAATATCAAACCAATTAAGTAAAAAGAAAAAAAAAAAGCACCATAAATTTGGGAAATTAAAGAAGATAACCAGAGTAACATCAATGACTTGTACTGTTTTTCTGTCACTCATTATCAGAAGAAAAATATTTTAGATTAAAAAGCTTTATTTAAGTGTATTTTAAGTTAAAGTTGTTACAAGAATTAGGAGAAAATTTGAATAATATTAACAATTTGTTCTCGACCAACAAAAATCAATGTGACTATTATTTGATTTCAAATTTTAAAATAAATTCATACCAAATAGTGACTTCAGACAAACAGTCTGTAAATGTTTTTTTGCGGGTTTCATTTTCAGATAATAAAATTATCAAAATGGTTTCCCAAACTACACATGTGCTAGTCAATATTGATGAATATTGTACTGGTGGCCGGGCCATAAACTTTTCTTTAAAAGACACTATGAAAAAAAAAATGGTGATATTTTTCTTGTAAAAATGGAGATATATATGGTTATGTATTAAAATTAGTAAGGAAACAATTATAATTTGTTTATATAAAATAGGGCACACAACTACAATATTTAAAATATTTAAGACTATTACGAAACCAAGAAATGAAGATCACATGTTGCAAGAGCTGCAAAAGTTACAGCCAATCAATTGTCGCTGCTGGATTCAAATTTATTGTCGTGCATGAAATGAGCACATTTTAGTGTTCAATGAGGTGCTCTCATTGTAGAAGTCCCAATAATCATATGCCAAGTATTAGATCACGATTTTTTTTTTTTCTAATTTGAATTTTGCTTTCACTACAAAATACTCTAACGTAACCTTATTGCATCGCCAAATATTCGAAACAATATTCAAATAGCATTCAATCCAAATAGTTATTAAGAGCTCTTTTTACTTCTTGATATTGAATTGTGGTGAGAATTTGAAGTGTTTTAAGGTCCGGTCCTTTCAAGGTGCCAGCCTTGTCAATTAGGTTTGGGAAAAGAAAATTGTTTGAATTACAAAAGATAGGTCAAACTAAAAAAATGTTGATCTTGCTCATGACGTTTTCTAACATTGATAACATGACTATTTGACGATTTGACAACGATCGTACTTTTCCTATTTCTCTCTCTCGGCTAAAACGGGGAGATCAAGGGGCCTAAAACGACAGAAAGTATAGAAAACGATGGGGAGTGAAATGAGTATGGAAAAGAAACGAAAAACAATATGATAAACTGTCATGACAAATAAAGGACACGAAATGAAAGAACCACGAGTGAAAGCCATAAGTCCATAGAAATGACTAGAAATGAAAAGGCCACACCGGAAGAATGAAAGACAAGAATGTATAAACTGAAAAACGACAAACACATTAGAACAAGCAAATACGATGAAAGAACGATAATGAAAGAGAAGCGCACAAATGAGTAAGCGGCAGCAAATGATACACACCCAATAAATAAAATTACTTTTTACACTCTTATTATTCCTCTGATTATGTTTAAAGATTATTAATTCTGAGAGACTAGGTTTGGAGGAAACGACAAAAAAAAGGGGAAAAACAACACTGAAAAAGATGGACAAGAAAATTAAAAGACACACACACAATCGAGGGGGAAAAAACGACAGGTAGAAAAAAAAAATACAAGAAATTATTAACGATAACGATACGAAGTGAAGAATCGAGATTAAGAAACGACAAGTCCAGAGAAATAACACACAAAGAAATAAAAACAATAATAAAATAACACAGAGAAAGAGCGACACCGTCGGAAATGAAAGATAAGTAGACAAGGATGGGGAAAATGACAGCAATGTGTAAATGTGAAAGAACACATCACAAACGCAATAAACGAGTCTTTAAAAAAAATGACAGCAATAGAAAGTGAGAGACAAGTACAGAGAAAACGACAACGTGTAAACAACAGGAAACATATAAACGACACACAATATAGTGAACGACAACAAAGGGAAAAAGGGACACCGAAGAAAACCACCGAGAAGGAAAAACGACAAGATTATAGAATGACAGGAAGTGAACCAACAGGACGGAAAATGAAGAGAAACGACAAACGGATAGAGAGAGAGAGAGTGTGTGACCACGAAGGAAAAACAAGACCTTACAAACGACAAGAAAAAAGCCAAAACGAGAAGATAGCAAAAGAATATATCCGCTTAAAACCACTGATTCATTGATAACGATCAATACCACTGATTCATTTATAACGATCAATATGACGTTTACTAACAATTCATTCACTGGAAAATACCAAGAAAAAAAAAGGAATGAAACAAAAATTGGTTTAACACAGTCAAGTTGGTTCATCTTTGGAGTTGGGCACAAAACAAAGTCACCTTGCTTATAAATTTTCTTTCCTGTATATATAGTCGATAAATTCTCATTTTCCATCTGCATTATATGCCTACTAAATTTTCTCAATAATAACCCCCCTCCCCCACATCCAAAAAAAAAAAACAAAGAAGTTTGTAGTGAACAAATATAGTTTCAAAACAATAAAAATGAAATAAGTGAAGATAATAATGAATGAAGCAACTGCTATTTTACAAGATGTTAAACAATACAAACCTCAAGGAGACATCATAGGTATCCCTTCCTTTAAATAAAAATACAGCATTTTAAGTCCCGGAAGAAAAAGAAAATGACCATACAGATCTCACCCAAATGAAACTAATCAGCAAGGATCAACAATAGTAAGGAGACAGGCATTTGGGAATGTCGGCCAAGTCTCTAAAGCACAAACTACCCAAGAAACAATTCCATTACCTGACCTTCATCCCTTTTATAAAACCGGGGGCTCAAAACATCATCCATACTCAGTTTTGTCTTCAACAACCACGTGAAATAGGTCATTTCCTTAATTCTTCCTAGATATGGTCCCAAAGTAGCTTTCGATTCATTGCCGGAGGGGCCAATCCAGGTATATCCCGGATGGACTTGTTGTTTGGATTCACGACCTGAATTATAATTAAAAAAAAAAAAGAATGATTAAGCATATATATGCTAACAACGAGAATATACAAAAGAATGATGCAAATTGCAAGTTACTCGTAGAGGACAAAAAGTATACACATGAAGCAGTGCAAAACCAGATTCTACCAAAAGGCATAAGAGGTGCACTATCACGGGAAAGCACACTCCCACACTCATTGTCGAAAAGGTAGCAGTCGAGCCATTTTCATTATTTTTGGTAGAATTTAACTTAGACTCTTAGAGCAATCCAAAAAAAAAAAAAAAATGCAAAAATAACGTGCATCCATATAAAAACTCAAAACAAGCTTTCCAAAAAATTTGATCATCTAGAGATGTTCTTTATTTTCTTGGTCCCAATCATGGAAGCAACGGTAGTACATTATGTGGGAACTTTCATTCCACCAATTTAAAAGAAACGAAGAATCATAATCATAATGCCTAAATCCTTGACGTTTAGATACCATTTTATAGTTTCGAAAACAAGTTTAGAAGATCAAATACAATTTACATATTTGGGAAACAATTTCACCCAAGTACCTCCACAAACACAACAATATATAAGTGACAGTCCTGATGCAGATTATGATATGTTTTATCTTTAATATTCAGTTTTGAATTCAAGATTATGTTTATTTAATTAGCATTATTTAAATTAGGTTGAAATTTTATCTTATTGATATGTTATCTCTATGAATAGGGTCAATGATGGTATTTTAAATGGATACTTAGTCGATTAGTGAATATTGAGATTTTGGATTCCCTTCTGTAGTTCTGTTGAGTTCTTGCTTCTCTAGAATTCTCTCTTTGCTCTCCCTTGGTCTCTAGTTTTCTATATATTGCTCTGGCCGGATTATATCTCCTCTCTTGGGAAGATATCAATAGGCAAAATTTAAATAGGAAAAAGAGAAGGATCAGAGATTCAAAGTGTGAAAATACCTTCACTATAATGATCGCTATGACTCCAGCGACAATTAGGAAAAGTAAGGCCATAATACACCTGTCAGTTGCAACCTAATGGGCAAATATAATAACAATAATAAGAGTCCACGATATGCAATGGCTGTGACAGACAATGTATATGATACGATAACAAAAAGGAAAGGATGTTTCAGAAATTGACCTGCCTACCAATTTCCTTCACCAGCTGAGATGCTTTCTTGATTGAGAAATGGATAGAGTCCAGCTCATTAACAATCCTACTCATTTGTTCAGTCTAAAAATGAAATGCAAGTGAAAGATCACAGTCAGTACCACATACTGATGTAAAATGTTGCAAGACCAGCGAAAGACAATGGTCAGATGAAACATGATAAATTGATATTTAGTCACATACTTGAGCCTTGAGAGCTGCTGCTGTCTCTGTTCCAACATTGATGGTGTCTTGAACAACCTGTAACACGACTAGTTCTTGTGAATAGTTGAGGCTTATTTTACATTTGAAACAGGAAAAAAAAAAATTGGTCCATGGTGTTGTTATTGCATCTTTCCTTGTCAGAGTTTGGACAGTAAAAGAAGCACCGGGAACAGGAGCAAACTTAATCCTCCATTTATTTTAGGAATATGATAGAAGATTGCAGCTGATATAAAAGTGTTCTGTTAGAAGGACAAACCTTTTTTGACCTCTCAATGGCTTGATCTGTGTCATCCATCATTCGGTGTCCATTATCCACAAGCTGTTGATTGGTCATATCTACAACATAAAAACTTTTAGGAAACAACTCAACATTGCTGAATACAGGTTCTGCAGCTAACACCACACTCATGTGTTGTATTAAATGCGGTGAAATTTTTTACAAAAATAAGAAAAGGCTCTACTTCTAAATAACATATGAACAAAACATATTGACGTTTTCCATCATTGTATACTTTACAATGAACTAAAATTTGATTTACATGTTCAATTTACAGAACAAAGGAAAAGTCTTAACCATTGAACATGACATTAATATACAAACTTATGCCCATCTTTAAGCAAGTAGTACCACCTAGCAGTTTCCAAAAATGCCAATATGACTGTAAATGATGTGAATTTGCATGTATCATGTGCATATGTATTCACACTTACTCGAGGCTAACAGGACATTTTCTTCTCCGTGTTCCTCTGCTGGCCCATCAAAAAGGTCAATTCTTTTGTTATCTAGATTTGCTGTATATCTGTAACCATAAGGCAATCATTTGACAATGGATAAATACCAGTTAGTGGACAGAAACATTTGCTAATATCTTTTCTTATTAAAAAAGTTCTATTCAAGTCGTGCATATTATAATAATGCGATCATCAGTCATGACAGAATCTTCAAAAGTTACAATTATTCAATTTAGATGGATTAACTTACTGTTTCTTTAAAGCCACATATGAATTCAACTCCTTAATCTGCATGTGAAGACAAATACTATTCAATATACTTTAACACATCAAAGAAAATCAAAGAAATCAAAAGAAAAGCCCAACAAAAAAAATAGAATGTGAGATTCCATATAAGTAATCAGTAACGAATTGACTGCAGACCATAGACTGCTTTTTCTCATTAAGCATCCTGTTGGTGTTTGGATCATTTCTACTTTCCATATCCTTGACCTCTCTGTCGAACTCCTTAATAAGCCTGAAACATAACACATAACCTTATTTTTGAAAAATATTGAAAACTTAGAGAAAAAGAGCAACAGGGAGCAGTATCCGAGACTTTATCGCATATGTCATCCTACATATGATGTGTCAAACTCTTGAAATTATTACCATCGAGAACTTTCGTCTTCAAAATATATCAATGATCAGAGCAGAAATTAAAAAAAATAAAACAATAAAGCGTAATTGCGGTGAAGGCAAAACTCTTTAAAAATTGAGGTATTTAATTTAATCCATAACTACTTGTAGGTCTAGCACGTTCACATTTCTACTGCAATCAGTAATCAACATTTACTGGTAGATTAAACAACTGAAATCTCTATTTCAATCGTATTAACTGTAGACTTCAATCACCATTCTAAGGTAGTAACGAGGGACTTATCGGTATGCTGTTCAAGCCATCTCCTCTAGAAAACAGAAGTCAAGGTTCTGCTAGAGGCATAGCAATGGGGTAAGAATTGGCTAGGGGCCTGTTTCATAAGGGCAAGCTTGGTAAGAGGAAGAAGGGGACATCAGGAAGCAGGAAGGCAGTAAAGTAAGTGGATATGGAGTACTCGAGGGACAGGCCCTGAAGCGAAAGATGGAACGAGCAGGATGCAAACCGAGCAAAGATTCCTTGTGAATCAATTTGCCATTTGATTCAAAGGGACACCAGGAGTTTTGAGATCACAAGAAAGGCATCGCTAGGCACTGGGCAAATACATAGGAATCTTGATTACAGCTGGGATGGATCTATTAGTGTATGAAATGAAAAGTCAACCCCCGAAGATCATTTCAAACATTGATAAACCCAGATCTTACATTCTAAATCATAGATATAGCTTAAGCTATAATAAACTCTTCAAATTTTCTCTGCCTATAAGCAATTAATAGATTGATTAAGCTAATTGCGGTTCTTATATCATTAACTAATCCATCATCCGATGTTATATAAGCACGAAAATGCCATAACAAAATCAAAACAGATTTATATCTATAAAATCAAAACTGTTGATAAGAGACCAAGATCAACATAAAAAGTGAACCAAAAAAAAAAAAGGGAAAGTGAATTCGACTATGAAATACCTCTTACATTCTCGCATCTTTCCCGTGAGCTCCTCCAGCTGCCTACTCTGCCTATTGGAGTCCTTAATCTTCTCCAACTTCTGAAATCCATTTCTGCAACAAATTCACATATCGAGAATCGTTAATCTTGTTATCAGAAATGTCAACCCCAATTCGAGCAGAATAAACCAAAATCAGCCTATCCAAAATGCCATAATTCTTACGATAAAGCCCGGAAAATGTCGCTGATTTGGCCGTCAATCTCCGCAAGCTCTTCGCTGATTGATGATAATGGATCCATATCTAAAACCTCGCCCTCTCAAAATCCACAATGCCTTTCAAACCAGTGGTCGAATTCAAAATCTCGGATCTTCAGAATCACCAAACCGATTTCTATGTATGAAATCACGGAGATTCCCGATCAGATACGCACAATGCAGATCGATTTCAAGCAAAATCAAATAATCATAACAACGAGAACCGAAATCGCCCTCGAAAAAATCCCAATCTTCATATCAATCATTCAGATTTTGACGCCAAATCGAACAATATAAGAAACTGTTAGAATCCGCGATCGAGATCGAAGCAATGCTGTTTTGTGGCCGCGATCAGTGATACCCAAAATCCAGAGCTTACAATGTTCCTACGATCTGGAAAAGAAAACAAAAAACAGGAACTAACTCTGTCCTCGTGATTTACATAGAATTAAGGGGTTTTTCGTGTTTTTTTGCTAAAGTTTTTTTTCCTTTTTTCGTTTTTTGGTTGGGCCGTTTTGGAGGGTAATTTGGCCTTTGGTTTAAAATTTTCGCCGATAATTTTGGCCGTTTACACTTATTATTTATTTATTTGGAGAAAAATAGAAATAAACTGATAAAAATAATGGCGAAGCTGTGGGGCCTACGAGGGGCACATCGTCTTCTGTTCTGCGTTTTGTGTAGTTTGGTTGACTCTGTTTCTGTCGTTGAGTGGCACGTGACAACTGTCATTGTTGCCAGTTTTGCGAATATTAAGGTGGTCCTTCCTCGTAACCGAACGTACGTGTATCAGTTTTAGCGGTAATTTGTAAGAAAACGCCTGCGTTTTGGCAATAAGCTATGTGAAGAAAATACGCCACACTAGTAGTACATCTTTACTAATTCGAGTTGAGATATAATTTTATATGATAACTTTTTATTATAGTAAAAAAATTAAATGTGACTGTTTCTGAGAACTTTTTACTGTAGCAAAACTCAAATTCTAAACTCGAATCAGTGAAGTGAACGGGGCCGAAATTTTTATTTATTTTATCGATTCGAATTTTTAATTCTAAATTTATACAGTTAAAAGCTCTTAAAAAATGTAACATTTAATTATTATTTTTTTACTAGAGTTAAAAATTCTCAAAAATATCATATCTTAACTCAAATTAAAAATTTAAATTTACAAAATAAACGAGACCGAAATTACTCCTCCCATGTCTTAGGTGTAGAGGTTGAGATCTACAGTCAAAGATACAGGGCCGGTGATCTATGTCGCTGTCGTGCTTGATTTCGGGCCCGTTTAGTTCGCTGATTCGAGTTTTTAATTCGAGTTGAGATGTGACTTTATGTGAGAGCTTTTTACTGTAGCAAAAAAGTTATATGTGACTGTTTCTGATAGCTTTTTATTATAGCAAAACTCAAATCGGTGAAATGAACGGGCCTTCGGTTATCCAAGGGTTTTACATAAGTAAAGTTTGAGATGAAACATCTAACAGTTCAATCTTCAAATCAGTCAATATTTTAAAAAAAAATGGCAAAAAAAAAAACAGGCAAAATAACTTTAGGATGCTAGTGCACAAGTACGTAGAATTATACAAAGGTCCCAATAAAGTATGAGGATAAGAGAAGAATGATCACATATTTTTATTGATAATAAGAGAGTATATATATACCATCAAAGCTCACATCTGCGTTTGCGTCGGGGTAGTTGGTGTAGTTGCTGGTGGCGTGGTAGCCATTAGAGCAGCGGTTGGTGGTGGTGATGATGATCGGCAAGGATTAGAAAAAGTGGCGTGAGCCTTAAGTACTCTGATACCATATGAGGATAAGAGAAGAATGATCACATATCTTTCATTGATAATAAGAGAGTACATATATACAATCAAAGTCAACTGAATATCTACATTTAAGGAAACAAAGAAAAAAAAGGAAAACGGAAATAAGAAACCCTGATTTTAGAGGATTACAACAATAAGTATTAAGTTATAAGGAATATACACAATTAATAAAGAGAATATCCTATTAGAAAGTAATATCTCAGTTTTATTTACATAACAGGGCCAATTAAAAATTTGGGTACCTCCATTTAGTTGAAAGTGTAGGAGTTTGCTTGATTGTATCTTATAGTGATCCCCGAAATTTAAGAGACGTTTGGTTCATGAATTAAAACCATGTGATTATAATTATTTTCGATTTACGTATATTTTTTGTGAGAAAAAATATTATAACGAACCACAAATCATGATTCGAATCCTCCAACTAAACAACCCCTTAATTACGGGAGGAATCCATGTTGCCATGATCCCTCATGCAATTGGGGTGCTGAAACGATGATCCAAATACCGCGATGATGTAATAAATTTATCAAAAATAAATAACACACTTGATTGAAATAAGTCGAGTTAATTCGCTCATCAAGTCGACCACTCGGCTCGACTCACTCGACCTTAATGACTTGAATAGTTGCTAAACGTTAGGTGGCTGGAAAGTTACAGCACGGCCTATTCTTTTATCCAAAAAATTTAAAAAAAAGACAACTCGAGTTCCAATTTTATTTAAATTCATGTTCTTTTAAGTTTCACCTTTATTCAACTTTATTCAAGTTACAACTTCAACTCAAGTTATAACTCAAAAACTACACTCAAGTTACACTCCAAAATAACAGATCTATAGAATTTGGCTCCATTGAACCAAATATATACTTGTATTTGCTCAATCTTTCTTTTTGAAAACTCTGAGTACATAGAGCAAATTTAGGACCCGTTTAGTTCGTTGATTCGAGTTTTTAATTCGAATTAAGATGTAACTTTATGTGAGAGCTTTTTATTGTAGTAAAAAAGTTAGATTTGACTGTTTCTAAGAGCCTTTTACTGTAACAAAACTCAAATCGGTGAAATGAACGGGGCCTTATTCTGTTTGTTTTGTTTATTCGAGTTGAAAACTTGAGTTAAAAAGTGAATTCATATGAGAGAAAATATTGTAATATAAAAAAGTTGAATTTAAATTTTTATTAAAGAAAATACTGTAACAAAAACTTGAGTTATGATTCAAAATAACGAAAGGAAAAAACTTCCTTTTGCATCATGGAACATCTAACTCAAAAAATTGAACTCCTCCACTCTACTCGTTGTCCGTGTTTGCTGACTGTCAATAGACTACGTTAGTCAACTCACAAGAAGTGGACAATCACTCTTAGAAAAGACCTAAGGCCTCGTTAGTTTACTGATTTGAGTTTTCAATTCAAGTTGAGATGTGACTTGATATGAAATCTTTTAACTGCAATAAAATTGAAATTAAACACTCGAATCAGTATAATAAACGAGACATAAGTCTAGTCGCAATAATAGGACTTTTTTTTGTCATACTCTTAATGCATGATGAAATACAAAGTCTTTGAGAAAGTAGCCAAAATAGAGTATGGTCTTGTTCGTTTTGCGGATTCGAGATGAAATGTGACATTATCTGAAAGCTTTTAACTGTAGCAGAAAAAGTTAGATATGATATTTACTGAGAACTTTTAACTGTATAAACTTAGAACTGAAAATTCGAATCGATAAAATATAAATAGCTTATGACTACATGAGTATTCACAATAAGTATCGTATACCCACCTGCTAAGAAATACTTCTAAATGACTGAAAAGAAGAGAGAGAGAAATAGAGAGAAAGCTGTAATATAAATCTAGAATTGAAAATTTGAATCGGTAAAATATAAATGGCTTATGACTACATGAGTATTCACAATAAGTATCATATACCCACCTACTAAGAAATACTTCTAAATGACTGAAAAGAAGAGATAAGAGAGAGAGAGAGAGAGAGAGAGAGTTGTTTTATGAAATGAATAATCTGAAAGTTATATTATACTTTTAGAGTCTGTTTAGTTCGCTGATTTGAGTTTTTAATTTAAATTGATATGTGATTTTATATGAGAATTTTTTTATAATAAAAAAAATTAAATGTGACTATTCTCAAAAAAATTTTATTATAATAAAATTTAAATTTTAAACTTAAATTAATAAAATAAATAGGGCTTATAGTAAGGCAATCTTCTGGACCTTTGCAGAGCTAACAATCCCATTAAGGCAAGCTTTTGAGCTACTCTTAAAAATTCCAAAGTAATTAATTTTTACCCGCATACAATCATGGCAGAAGGGGCAGCTTTAAGTTCTAGTTTCTGCAGGAGCAATAATACACTGCAAAAGAAAATTACCAAATCCTAAGAGCCATTAATTTTCCCATCAAAACTGACTTTACTAATGTTCATTCGCCAAATATATTGGTCGCCACTAATTTAGCAGAAAAAAATGGTGGTTGTATTTGAAATTGATTTTAAAATGATTTTATTTTTAATAAAAAGTAAAAATAAGATTGTTTTAAGAATTATTTTGAGACCGATTTTAAAATTTTGTGTGGTTGATTTTTAAGAGATTATTTTAAATATAATTAAAAAATGAAATCATATTTATTAATTAATATATTATAATATTATTGATAAGTACTAAAAAATAAAAATAGAACAATGAAAATAACTTTCAACTATTTTTTAATTCTTTTATAAAAACCGTTCTAACTGTTTTTATTTTTGTTTTCGTTTTCAAAACATTTGCTAAATAAACGTCGTTTCGTTTTCATTTTCATTTTTTATCTCGAAATATGTAAAAACCGTTTTTAAAAACGATTCTAAAAACGCACATTGTATTTTCTCACAAAATAGATGGCATAAGCCATGAACCTCATTAACGGATCCCATAAAATAATAATAATAATTATTATTATTATTATAAAAAGGGTGCATTTATAGTGGAGAATGTTATTTTTCTCTACTAATAAGAATTGTGTTTAGCTTTTAGATTAGTTTTTTAACAGTTTGATTTACAGTTTGATTTACAGTATGAATAGTTTTATATCACAAGCTATAAATTTCTAATGTAGACATGTACAAATTTAACCGTTAAAAAATTAATTTAACAAGTAAAAATCATATGAAATAAAAGCCTCTCTCTATCGTAAAAGTTCTCTAAAAAACCATATATTTAACCACCATTATAGAAGAAAAATGTTTTCTTTAACCTATTACTCGTTATATTATATATATAATCCCATAAAAGGAAACACTATGGAATTTTCTCTTAAAAAGAGAAGTGGAGTAATACCTAATCACTAGTCATTATTTCCTTATTGAAAGTAATTGAAAAAAGTTTCATTCCTCTGTATATGTAAATAGACACTGGCTGCTCGCCTAGTCCGTACGTGGCAGAAGACTATTTTGGGAAAACGCAAGCAGAACAACGAAGACACTGTTAATTTAATTGATTTGAGTTTAAAATTTAAATTTTATTACGATTAAAATTTTTTAAAAATAATCACATTTAATTTTTTTATTATAATAAAAAACTCACAAATAAAATAACATTTTAATTTAAATTAACGAATTAAACACGCATAAAATGAAAAACCGGCCTTTATTGTCTTTCTCAGCAAGACTATGGATACATTTTACTTATTTTTCTTTTTTCTTTTTCTTTTTTTGGATGTGAGCCTGGATTTTTTT